ATTGATGAACTTGGCTCAAGGTTGTCCCAATGTTGGCGCAACGTTGCTTCAACATGACCCAACCTTATACCAGCATTACCTCAATGTTCCCTCAAGATTGGTTTCCGATCAGATAAGATCGATTTGCTATTCATCAATTCCCCTTTTCGTAAATTACAACTTCACATTCCGTAATTAATATTCAGATTTTTCGCGATCGTTTTCGTTGATTCAAAATCTGATAAATGAGTATAATATTTGAGTAATAAATTTTCGCAGGTGTCATTCAGAATTTCTTGAGTCGCCAGCCGCTGGTGATGCCATGACTGGAATTCCTGAAAGAATCTCTCACCTGGACTTGACCAAAAGCGCGTGCACGTATCGAGAGAGGGCATTAACGATTTCCTGGTGCTTTTCCTCCAGTCCTCTTCCTTCATCGTAAACCGGAACACGAGAGTCTGTGCTTCGCCGACAGCAACACAAGGGCGAGAGGATGAAAAAAATGGAATACGTGTTAAAAAAAAAAATACCGAGAAGAATGAATTGTAAAGTGGCACTGGTCTCGCGGCGCACGCCCCATTATGGCGTAACTCTCGGCCATTATTAGGGCGTCTGCGCAAAGAAATGGACCAACAACAGGATCACCTGGAATACGATAGCCAATAGAGGACGTACACGGAATATCCGACGTGCTAACAAGCTTTTGATGTGCCTTTTGCTGTCGTTTCTTCGACACTCCTCACTTTTCTCAGAACAGTGACAATCCAAAAAAAAATATGACCACAGAAAAGTGGACAAAGGCATAAATAAATAATGTTCGTCCGTTTTTTCCGCATGAGCTGGCTTTATTTCAGTTTTATGATCGATTTCGGGTCGGAAGGCTTCGGCATTAAAAGGACTCTTAAATGTTGAGGAATTAATACATTGTAACACGTGTTGAGTTGAATGAGAAACTATTCATATCAACCGTAGGCGGTCAAATCGTTAAAAAATACATTTCACGCTTCTTTAGATTGTGAAAATGTTCCCTGTAATGACCGGTCGTTTGGAGTCGTTCAAAGTCGTTTTCAAGGGGCAAAAGGGCACCACGAAACATAAACTATAGAAAGTAATTTAATTTTCGGGGTAACTCGGTTAATTAATCTCATTTCGAGTGAAATGATTATTTATGCGTTGATGGAGAACGATTAATTTATTATTAAAAAATCGATTTCTTCGGATCTTCACGGATTTTTAATAGTTAATGAATTTTATTTCATTTATTGTTTTATTAGTGAATGGATAAGAGGTATTAATTCCAGGCGGAAATTGATAAAAGATAAGATGAAGTCTTAAATATTGCGTATCAACATAAGTATGTAGGTCAATGGTTTAATTTCCGTTTAATTCAGAAGGCTGAATCAATAAAGATTTTTTTCAGAGTTTCTGCTTTACCAATTCTACATCCCAGAATTTTCCATATTTTCCTTATCTAAAAGACAACACATTGGAAAGACAAAAAATTAATAGTATGAAATTTACCATCTTCCATCAATATAAATTATTAATTGAATAAAAAAATATTAAATGGCTAGATCGAATTTCGATTATTTATAATAAACAATAACAACAATTAGAGTAGGAAATGGAGCAATTAGTTTCAATTCACTATTAGGTGGTATTGAATGTTGGAAAGAAATAATTTATCTATTGATACAGAATTCAGGGTATTTACGAAAAGATTCAGAGTGAAACATCTGTCTGACAACGTAACTATCCACCCCCTACGTGTCTTGTTCTCACTCCCTCGATTTTCAGTGAGTATATGCTGAGCACATCGTGGACCCCTCGTGGAGGATGAAGTGCCGCGTGTTACAACAGTAGATGCGTTATAGTGTAACTCGACGGGGTGGAGAAACATCCTCTGGACAGTGGACACCCTGTGGTCCTGTGTTCGCCCTTAATGCACCTCGTTTTACCATTTTTTCCTGTTAAACCATTTTTCGTAGCTCGTGTGGAGCTGACTCGCAGTATTTACCGATGTGTAGTGAGTTTTGAGTCAGGGGGGGGGGGGGCTCGAGAATTTTTGGGGAGATTCTGGGATGGGGTAGTTCCATGAACAATCGATTGAAAATCGATCTAAAAGAATAAAATCTAATCCTATTCTAAAAAGGATAAATTATCATACCATCGATACTATCGATATCTCGAAAGTCTGTCACACTTGTTTCTCATTGGTTCAGTCGTCTGAGGCGGGTAATTTGAATTCGGAATTCATTTAAATTAATTTATTAATCACGATTTTTTAATTGGCGTGCTGCAGCGGTTCATCGGGACGAGTGTCCTATTCTAAAAAGGACAAATCATCGAAACATCGAGACTATCGATATCTCGAAAGTCTGTCACACTTGTTCCTCATTGGTTCAGTCGTCAGAGGCGGGTAATTCGAACTGGAACTCATTTAAATTAATTTTTTAATCACGATTTCTGTAATTATAACGCGCTTTATCTTGCAGCGATTTATCTCGACGAGTATCGATTATTATATTTAATGAACATCTCTTGGAAAAACTAATTAGTCCGATCTCCACGGTTTGGGGTCGAAACGAAAATAGAGTGTGTTTATCCAGAAGCGAAAGCTTCGTTTGCCGTCTCGTTTGATTCTAATAACGAAAACAGATATGTGTTGTTGCCCTCTCGCACACTAATTCCCATGAGTGTAATTCCCGATCGCATCCGCTTGTCTCTTTCTCTATCTGAAGTATAAACAGTCGTTGTGGGTACGGAATTAGACGCACCAACTTGATTTATTGCAAAAACTGTCGCGACCGGGGGAAACATCCAAAATATGTGGCAATTGGAATTCATTGAAGAATATAAACAAAACGATTTGGACAGACGAGAATCGACCAGACGGAATAAACCTCACGTTTGTTTCCGTGAGACGATCGTTTTTCCGGAAATAATTGTAACAATAATAATAACACCATATAACGTCGGGGATTATAATTAATTAATTATAATCCCCGAAATTCATTAATTATAATTAATATACTCGGGAATAATAATTAATATAATTAATATCTCGGAAAATCAAATGATGTGATTTTCACCTGCATCAGGGCCACCCAAAATTAATGGCTTCGGGGGCCCAGAAATTTTTACTTCTCAATGGAAATTTTCTATTTTAATTTCACAATTTCAAATTCAAATTTTGAAAATCTGAAATTTTTTGGGAATCATCAGAGCCCTGTTTATAATTTTTCATTCCATTTTTATTAATCTTCAGTTGTTAAATTGTTAATTGAAATCGTTTCTCCGGAAATAATTGTAACAATAATAATAACACCCTATAATTAATATAATCGGGTATACCAATTAATATAATTAATACCCGCAAATAAATAAATAAAAAATGAAAAATTGATTCATTCATTTATTTAACATTTTTCAATTTCAAATAAACAAATTCAAAATCTCGTTTTAGATGCAACAACTATAAAAGGGAAAAAATTCCCGAAATCCGCGATCGACGTGAAAAAAAAAAAAAAATTTTAATTTTTAAAAACCGCCGCGGAAAGTCTGATGATAAATAAAAGAATTGGGAGCACAGGGTCTTAATTAAAAAGGAATTATTGAGAGATAAGACATGATGACAGTCGGAATGACCCAAAAAAATCAATTGATCTCGACTGGTGTTGGGAGAATTTCCCTGAAGTTATTTGTAAACACGAATGGCTGATGGTGAGATGGAGGCACAAGGTGTCTCATGTCCTGTGGGATGTTGGGGATTTGGAGGATTTTCTAGTCCAACGATGATGTGTTCAACACGATGTCGCCTATCAGGATTATATATTGGTTCCGGTAACTGAGGATTTCCTATTTAGGAGAAGCAATAAACCGGCGAGTAAAATCCTGGGGGATTACACGAGAGCAGATGGAGGAGTCTGTTATAAAAATTGATTACACCTTGACGTTTCCGAGATTCCTAAAGTTTAAAAAAATTCTGGGCCCCAAAATAATGATATTTGCATGTCCCATGAATGCTCTCTGATTGCCACGCTCTACCTCTGCCTGGGCATTATCCAAAAAATTCTCCCACGACACATCCTTCCACAAACGAGAATTGTAAGACTTCCTCTCGACTAAATTTGTATACACCATCATGTGACTCTGGATTAAGGTCTCTCAACTGTTGGTATTGTAATACGAGAGGAGAAAAACACAAAGAGACGAATTCACTGGTATCTAAAAGAATCAAGGGATTATGGTCTCTAGTGTCACATGAACCATCGTGCAAGAACTAATCCAGAGCAAGTGAAAAAAAGATAAGAAAAAAAATGT